AAAAAATATTTTTATATATATTATATCACAGAAACACCGTTTGCAGAAGAAAACAAAACTGCTTAAAATGATAAAAAAACACCGTTGTTGGTGGTTCATTACACACAAAAAAATATAGAATTTTTAATTTCATGGGAAAGTGAACCTTAGTGCGAAAATTATTTTCTTTATAAAACTAACAAGCGTGTGGATAAGACCTTTGTAAAAATCTTGAATCAACCAAAAAATAAAAAATTAAAGCTTTAAATGCATTCTAATTACCTTTTTTACGTCTTGAAATGAGTAAATAGTTCACTTGCAAACAGCGCACATAGGGGTATTTGAACCAGGGTTGTTGCGAATATTCGCATTCGCATTCGCAACCGCGGAGCTTCCGCATTAATTTTAACATTCGCATTCGCTTTCGCATTCGCAATAATCAATGCGGAGCTTTTGCGAATGCGAATGTTGTGAAAGTGCACCGATAAAACGTATATCTAACAAAAAAAATGACAAATTGTAGCCAATATTTTTTGACTGTGGTCGTGTTACCCGGGCGCCGCACATGGGAGTATTTGTGTAACAAAACTGGTCAAATGTCATATTTATCAACTTTGATAAAAGTGTCTCTAAACATTTTATTTCTTAAGCTATATAACCGAGCTATCAATGGGCAGTCATACAAGTTCCCACTCCTACTTGACCTTTGACGTACGTCAAAGAGAACATTGTCCTTTTAATCGCATTTTTTTCTGTGCTTTAAATACCTGCATTGGTTTCTTTCTTTATTATGATTTTTTTGGACCAATCTTAAAAAAGCTACTAGACATAAAAGAAGAAAGTGTGCACCGTAATTCTAAACCAAACTTTCGTGATTTGCTTTTGATGTTACATATCGCACACCTAGATCTAAAGTATGATCAACTCAAACAAAATTTTTGACAATTTGTTTGCATTAATCCATTATGGTAGTAAGGCTTACATCCAATTAAGGAAAATACTTTTTTCTTCATGATTTTATACATTAACTAAAAAAACTACTGTTATATCTGTTTTGTATTAATTGCGTTGAATGTGTACGATCCACAGGCAGTTAAATTTCCCTCTCTGAATTTTGAGTTAGTTCTCTTTAGATCTAGGTTTGCGATATATTTGTTTCAAACATTTCAAATGGGGCTCTTTGGGGAATTTATTTTTAGCAAAAATTTCAAAAACAGTAATTTTGTTTACTTGTCGGGCAATATTTTTTTATAGGGATACACATTGGATCATTGGCTAAAAACTTCTGTGGTAAAACTCTCCCCCTACGTCTTCCTTCTGATATTTAAAGACAGAATATTCGGCTGGCAGCCACGACTTTGAAAACAGAATTTTGTTCAAATTTTTCATTCCTGTAAAATAATAGTTTATTTTCCATATCCGCTTACATATTTAGCTCGCTATAAGCAAAAATGTTTCAAACCAGTCGCAGAATAATTACAAAAACTAAAATGAAGTTACAGGTTCCCCAAATTCTGAAACAGCCAAAAGAATGAGAATGAAGAATTCTTTTTAAAAAGCTTTAGAAAAACCTGACACATCTGGTTTGGCTTGTAAGCGGTGTTCAAACAACGATCTCGCCATTATGCTAGATTCTTCAAGTGAAGATTAAAATTAGGAGGATGCATCCGACATTTTCAGCCCCGATGCAATTCTCATTACTTTTTATTAAATATAATGTTCCAATTCAATTACTAAATAAAACAAGCATTATTAAAATTTACTAACCCTTCCATTTTTTTATTTACCTAAATAATTTAATTTACTTACTTAATTTAATTGTTTCATAAAAATACTTGACATCCGCATTCGCATCCGCGGGTTTAGCTAAAATTCCACATTCGCAACATCCCTGATTTGAAGGATTTAGGCGGCCAAAAACCAATTTGACAAAATTTTGGAGAAAACTTAAAAAATGAGTCCCTTTCGATAGAGAACATTCCAAATAAAATTTCCCAGCTCACTCACTTTTCTAACTTGCACAGCGAACGCTCACTGGACCGGAAACAGAATATTCTATCGCTGCTTATAAATAAATTTTCGCTCTCTAGAAAGATCGTGACGGTTTTAAGTTAATATTTTGATTACTGAATTATATTCTTAAAAGGTAGTGATGGATCTGCATACAGACGGTAATAATGCATTTAAGTGTAAACTTTTTTTAATCATTTTATTAAGCAAAAGTTCAATTTAAATGTAACGATAATAGCGGTTTTCAACGAGTACTTTTTTGTTAATTTTTGTGAATATCTAGGAATTTTTTTGTATCCCCGGTAGAGATCGCGTTATTATTCTTTGTTCAATTGAAAGCTTAGAAATTTGGCTAATATAGTGTGAAAAGACTGCCCGCAGAAAATGGCAGATAAGTGGTATTTCTTAACTTAGAAAATGTATTAAGGAAAAATTTAAAAACGCAACTAGTATATAGTAACACTATTTTAGATCTATTTTAACACTAAAATTAAACTTTTTAGATGAATTTGAGACCGCTGAACTAGAATATGAATCCATTTATCTAATGTAAAAAATAAATAGTTTTCGAGATATTACCAAAAGCCATGTTTTCTAGGACCTTTCGGTCCTGTTGCTAAAAATCTGCGGGAATGTAAGGCGAACTCAACTATGTTAAATATTTCGGAACAAAAATTTGTTTTCCTTTACATTTGTGTTATAAGTGATGATTAAAGAAATAGTTTTGGGTATACAAGCGTTTAAATTTAGATAAATGTCAATTTAGATAAATCTACGATATTTCAGTAAATATTGTATCCAAATTGTTAAAAATTAGTATGTAAAGTAAAATTTTGGAACAAAATAGGATTATTTTTAAATTTTTAGAAAATGGGTGTGGCCCCGCCCACTTATGATGAAATGCTGTATCTCAGTATCCGCTTCACTAATCCGTACCAAACTCGGTATGAGCCTTGCCCAGGCTATATCTAACATAACTGCTAAGACTTCTAGAAATCTGGCGATAACCATGCCCACTTCCCTTATAACGGTAATTTATAGAAACGCGAAAACTGCCATAAATCAATAACTACAGAAGCTAATTCACTCTAAATCGATTCTTGGAATAACCTCTTAGCATTAATTAAAATTATTATAATTTTTTGGATAATGGGCGTGGCACCGCGCACTTTTGACCACAAATGTATATCTCGGTAACCGATTTATCAATTTGTACCAAACTCGATGCACTTGGTATGGAAAAGCAATGCGTTGAAAATACGAAAACTCCGATATTTCAGTAATTGGGGAGCTAATTTACTCCAAGTTAATACTTACAAAATTCTCTTAATTAATAATAATAAATTCTCTCTTATTATTACAAAAAAGTAGTTTTATTACATTGGGTGCGATCGAGCTACGTAATAATTACCGCAAAATTGCAGACTTGTTGCATTCCTGATGACATTTTGCTGATGCTCAACTTCAACTTTTCTAAAATGTTGCAGAAATTGCGCAGTAAAAATTTGTATGTTGCTTTTGATTCGCCAATGATGAGTAACTGATTGTCAAAATTTTGTTCGCCCAAATTTTTGCGTAGAACGTGATACTCTTTCATAAAAGAGTAACATTGCCGCATTAATTGCACCTCGAATACACCCATTTCTTACCTATACTGTGGTACATATTTGATTTATTTAATTCCTTTAATTAAAGTTGAATTTCATTTTTTAAACCCTGGAAGTTTCCTTAGAGATAAAGCCTTTTCAAACCCATTTCCATTGATACCATTATGGCAGCAATTCATTTAACTAATTGAACAACATTTTTTAACTGTTAATGTTTTAACTTACATTTACTTGATTTTAAACATTTACAATTCTATATGTCATAATACGTCTTTTCTAAAAATTTCGAGTTGAAATATCCCTAAAAATAATTTTGGCCGCATAAATCGGCTATATAGCCCTATGTGCAGCGTTATGTGATTTTATAATAGAAAGCCATAAATTTGAAAAAACGACATCTACGCGTCAATTGATAGAAAAAAGAACATTTTGACAGATCAAACAAAAATTTGATGCTTCTCGTGGTGAATACGAACGTCAGAGCTAGGTAAAATTTTTACCGCTACGAAACAATACTATTTGGCGGTAATAAAGAGTTAAAATCAAAATGAAAGCTGAAAAAAAGAAAAAAACGTAGATTACTTGCCAGTTATAAAATAAATATTAATATTAATTTCAGCAACACACAAAAATAGAGCTTTCAGCCGAGCGGTGTTTTCAACTGGCAATATTTTACTTTGCATTTGGGACAGCGAAATTCAATTTGATTCTGAGTTGATGGTCAATTTTAGAATCCAGAAGAAATTCAATTTATTTGTACACCATAGCTAATTTTTCAATCCTGTTTCATCTCGGAGAAAAAAGTTACCGATTGGCACAGGCCAAAAATGACTATTGATTATCCGAACTATACCAATCATACCTTTTACCGCCAATATTTTGTATCATGGCATATACTATATATAAAATGTAGCACTTCTACCTTATCAAAGGTAAGTAACGTTTTTGTGTACCTTTCCTACCTGCTATCTGCAAAAGGGCTGTATACCCAAGCAAGCAGATATACATATGTGCATTCTTAAATACATTTATTATTGCTTATTCCTTAAATTTTGGTACTTCGAAAATAAGTTACGTTGGTGCCCGGGATCTTACCCTTTTAGCATTTTATTTTACTGGGCTGTAGTTGAGTATGTAAATGTCAAAGGTAGGTGCCCGGGTCGATGTCCGTCAAACGAAAATTTATATTTATATCAATACTGTACATTATATGTACGAGTATAATAGTGCAAGACATATTTTTGTTACTGAAAATTCCTAAAATATTAATTAAAATAACTAGACGACAAAAACAAGTAGAAAATAACATATTTCTTATGTTTGTCCTTGATTTATTACAGATAAAATATATGTGCTATTATGTATATGAATGTTGCTTTTCATACTTACCACTAATCCGATTTTGCCATTAGAAAAAGGTTTCTGTCAGTTTTGAATTTCACCACAGACTTATATCATCTGGACAGATTTCATAATTTTAGGTAATATGTTTGACACGGGATGTGTTTAAAGCCTAAAAACCACAAGAATTCGAATGTAAAAATTAAAAAAGTTGGTTTGAAAACTAGTTTTAAAAAAGGAAATATAACTTTTATAATTTATATGATAACGAGATGACTAAAACTTAAATCTGTAGTTATTCTTCTTCCTGTTATTGATTTGCTACAGTTATTAATGTCTGATAATATCGATACTTTGAATATGGCTCACGGTGCAGAAGTCCACGCAAAATAAGAAAGTATGTCATTTCCTGAAAGCGTGTTTCACGTGAACTTAACATTCATAAAAATATTCGCCCGACTATTTAATACCTAAAAAACAGATAGTACTGGCATCGAGGTACTTAAGCGGGTTCTTTTAAGTACCCAATCCGCCTAAGTATCTCAAAACGCTGACATTTTGCGTGAGATACTTAAGCGGGTTTTACTGTAATCGGGTTTATCCATGGACGCCAATCAAAGAAACAAAATAGTTTAAGTAAGCATTAATCAATGTGATATGGTTTATATTTCTTCAATTAAATTTAATGTTAATTTTTATGTATAATACAGAAAAACGGTTTTTCTTAACAGCGGTTGACACTCAGCAGGCAATGGCACACCTCCTGCTGCAACGAAAAACAGCTTCTCCTAAAAATGCAATCGCCATCGGAGAAGCTCGTCCAAACACGAATATATGTGTATTTAAGCGCCAGTCTATTATCCTTATTAATTTTTTTCGGAAAAAAATTAAGTTATTACTGAATTTTAATATCCAGTTAAAAATAATGAGCATTCGTAAAACCTCAAAGGCCATACAGGCGCAACCAATTAAAATTTTCACCCGAAATCTGTAAGGTAGGGTTCAATCGATACAAGTAAATACTCGATACCATTCATTTGATACCAAGTATCGAGTAAGTATCGAAAAAAAGTACTTGGTATCCAAAGAGTAATTTCTACTACTTTTATCATTGCAACGGCAACTCAACAAATGATGCCCGTTATTAGAATTTTCGCGAAAAGTGCGGTCATGTAGTAGAGAAAGTAGAAATCGCTTGTCTGGAAATCATTTAGAAAAGTTGTTGTTTCCTGGCAGTGTGCCCCAAAAGCTATTTTTTTCATAAATATTTTGTGAATAATATACTTATATGAAGTCATAATTATAACTAATATTGTTCCTCAGCAATGTACCAAAAGAAACAATACACTTTTTTTTTCATAAATAGTTTGTAAATGATGCAGTGCGCTGTATACTTATAGGGGTGACCTTATGGATAAGTGTCGGATTTTTATTTTTATTTTCAAATTAATTTTAGTTACTTTTTTATAAAAAATATAGTTCATTCTATGACAAAAACTATGTAAATCCAAGTTTCAAATTTTGTACAAAAATTAAAAGAAAATCAAAGTTTCACCAAAATTAAATACTTTTTATTCAGAATAAAAAGTGTGGAATTTTGATGAAAACGTACTACCGCAAAAGAGAAGGCACAAGTTGTTCTTTGATGAAACTTTGTTGATTTGCTTTTAATTTTTGAACAAAGTTTTAAACTTGGATTAACAAGGTTTTTGTTATGGAATGAACTATATTATTTACAAACAAGTAAGAGCAGCGCTGTCTTCGGCTATACCGAAGGCTTCATACCTTTCATGAACATCTGCAAATTTTACTTTGACCGATTACTGCTTTTGAATACATCTGCATACATCGATAGAGGAGTTACATACCTATATAAAAAATCGCATCTGAACAATCAGAGGTATGGAAGATATACCTTATATTAGCACCAATCTAAGTGATTTTCACTGCGATGTGATCGGTATGTAACCCGGTAACACAATTTATTGGGTTTAGTTTCCTACATAAAGGAGATATATCGCAAAAACTGGTATCTGAACAATCAGTGGTATAGGAGATAAAGCTTATACTGCATAGATTTTGACGATTTTCTCAGTAGACTTTGTATTATTATTTATAAAATATCTTACGAAATTTATCGGTTTTAGCTGTTCAAATAAAGGAGTTTTACAGTAAAATCCCATATCTGAACAATCAGATGTATGGAAGATACATATATGTTATAGTCACCCGATCCTTGTTATTTTCACTGTAAGTATTCTGTTAATAATGAGTGAAAATGGTGCGAAATTTCATGTTCCTAGCTGCATAAATGGAGGAGTTATGATAAAAGACCTCATATCTGAACAATCAGTTGTATGGGGGCTGCAGGTTATAGTCACCCCATCTTTGTTATTTTCACTGTAAGTCTTCTGTTGACAATGAGTGAAAACAGCGCGAAATTTCATGGTCCTAGCTACATAAATGGAGGAAAAATCTCATATCGAACAATCAGTTGTATGGGAGCTATAGGTTATAATGACCCGATCTTTGTAATTTTCACTGTAAGTATTCTGTTGATAATGGGTGCAAGTACTGCAAAATTTCGTGTTCCTAGCTGCATAAATGGAGAAGTTTTAACGAAAAAACCCATATCTGAACAATCAGTTGTATGGGAGCTATATGTTATAGTGGTCCGATTCTTCCGGTTCCGACAAATGATTAATACATTATAAAAATACACCCACCTTCCAAATTTTATCCGGATATCTCGAAAACTGAGAGACTAGATTGCATACAAACAGATGGACAGACGGACATGGCTAAATCGACTCAGCTCGACGTTCTGATCATATAAGTATACATTTTAATTGGTCTATCTCTTTTTATTCTGGTACTTACAAACATCGGACCAAAGTTATAATACCATTTCATGCTCATGAAAGGTATAAAAAGTGAATAAAACTAATTTGAAAATAAAAACAAAAATAAAAATCCGAAATCCATATTGGGTCACCTATACACTGTACCAAAAATGTTAATTAATAATTATTTTGTATTCTTACTAAATAACTTAAATTTATACGTTTTCTATACCTGCACCTTTATTGGCTTTTTATTTGATTTCGACATACAATGTTTTAAACCATGATAAGACGTAATCATACAACCTTTTACAACAAAAAAGAGAAGTATCTCTCGAAAGAGAAGATGGAAACAATTCAAGTAAGTACTCGATACTTTGCCGATACTGAGTAGGTATCGATACTTTCAGTCTTTTGAGTACAAGTACTCATTAGAGTGATACCTTAGTGGTATCGATTGAACCCTACTGTAAGGTCAGAAACGTTACTTAAGCTGTTCGTATCCAAAAAAATTTTACTCAATATTAACATAGCCCAATAAAATTTGAACAACTGCATTTGGCTCTGGTTCTTGTAAGATTTTTCAGTAGAATCACAACCTGACATCCAAATTAACCAATTCGCTCTGGTTTTTAGGATATTTGGGATTTAAAGTGTCCAAATGGATTTTGGCCGTTTTTTAGAACACCTGTACAAAGATATAGGCTATGGAATATAATCTTTTCAACAGTGTAAAATAAAATCTAAAATATAATGCCATTAAATATTTTATTTTTCTATCAAATTTATTTAAATTCTTTATTTGTTGTCTTTTAGAATCTCAGTTTACATGTGAAATGTTTCGCAAATATATGAATAATTTGAGAAATGTAAGTATGTTGAAATATTGTACCTTTGGATTGTACACTCTAATATACTCATTCGGACGAGTTTAAATTACCCCTTTCGTCATATATGAACACGACCTTTATGTTGTCGTTGTTAGAACTAAAAACTTTGGTTGAAGGCTTATTAGCACCAATAATAAAACAAACTAAAAATATCGAATATATTTAATTTAAAAATAAATTTTTAAAGACAATCTTTTATAAGTGGTTAATAAAGGAAGACAAATCGACGAGTCGGACCCGGACCGCCTAAAGGAAACATTTTTTGTGGAGTTATTTCCTTACATTTGAATAATATACGTTTTATATATGAATCAAATCGGAACTGTGCGCCATTTAGGGCAAAATTTTTTGTGGAGGATTTTCAAATACTAGTATCGGCCAGTTGCCGAACTTCGACCACTTCATTTATATACACACTTTTTCATTTTGCTTGTCATCAATATAGTGGCAATAATGCTTCACGGTGATGATGATTTTGAAGTCTACACTGAGGGAAAAAATATTAAAATCAAATAGAAACGTAGTTGATCTTACTATAAACGTTAACGAAAGTACTGTATATTGGTAAATATTCAATTCAATTACGCGCATATTAAAATGACCGCGTTCGTACTGAAAAAGCATCCGTGAAGTGAATAATCAAGAAAAAAATTTAAATTGCAAGTTGCCTGCAGTGGAATTCGAACCCGACCGTCTCCGGATATCAACAACTTTTGCCAAGCATCTTTGCGCACTCAGCTACACCCAGCCATATAAATTTGCTTTCAAATGTTGAATATCCATCAACACCACAGCACGCGTTTTGTCCGGATAAATATATATGTACTATGTACGTATGTGTGTGTTGTCACCGCTCACAGAGCGGCTCTCTGCATGCTTGGGGTGTGTATGTACACTTACATATACTACATACTCAGATGTGAACAGTCAAATATGTGCGTAATAAATTTTGTATGAAAATATTATTTTTAAATACGAACATTTTTAAACGATAATCAAATATAAAGTATTCATTTTTACTATGCATTATTTCCCTCAGTGTATTAGCATTCCAAAATATATGTAATAACCTGTGGCCCGCCTACCTGACTACCATTGTTAGATTGATATACATCCTGTTAAATAATGTAATAATTCTAAGCTAATCTATATTTTTTTTATCCAAACTAAAAACCAACATATGTAGGCCAGAAAGGCCGGATTGAATTAAAATGGAAAGCATCATAGATATGCATATTGCATGGACGTGAAATTTAGATAACTTGAATATGTTTTCCATTTTTTGGAAGGTTTATTTCTCCCTATGTAGTGAATATATATTCTGAATTTGAAGCAGGACTATAAACGCATAGTTCGACTCCTGCGCCACCTATCGGAAAACTTTAACTTTGTGTACTCCTCCTTCTTAACACCTTTCCAAGAAAGCAACAACCATT